ATCCAGCAGTTAAAAATTTGCTTGAGGAACAACGAAGACATTCACATTTAGTAGCAAGCTGGTGCGGCATTTATCGGTGCTTATCCTTCCAAATATCTGAGATCCTGGTTCCTCCTTCTCCTTCTTTGCTTTACACTCGCTTCTTGAGGGCAGTCGTGTGAAAAATTGGTCGCCCGCTTGGAAGGGAAGTATGGCTGCTAGGAAGTGCTGCAGTAAAGGAAAACTGAAGAATCCGATCTAAAACCTTCAAAACGGGACCCCTGTTCTTCCTAGTTTACGCGTTGGGTCTGCCTCATCGGTGTTGACGTCATCAACGTAGACACCCTGCTCTGCCTCTCTGCTAAAACGGATAGAGTCCGACAGCAGGGGCCAGTAGATGTGGTAGTCAAACGATGGGCGTGGATAGGCTCTAAGTGAGTTGCCGCCGCGGGCCAGGTTTTTGTAGACCGGTAGGGTCTCACACTTCACAGCAAAACGCTACCTGATCCGTTTCCCTTAAAAGACCTGCCTCCTATCACAGTAGATATACAACGGAACAGGAGGCGCTCTTCGACTTCTAGAGAATCTTATCACTTGCTTTAAATTACATGAAAAAGGGCGTGTTTCATCCGGTACCCGACAGGGGGCCCGTTGCGCGACAAGAGGGCAGAAACGTGGTCTAGTCAGAGGACTAATCGTACTGTGGCTATTTAGCGTCAAGTTAAATAGAATGTGCTATAGTACGTCCCACATCGCACAGTACGCGCTGCGACTCGTCCGCTGACCCGTCTGCGTCTCTGCCTTCTCGCCGCGCGACGGGCCTCCTGTCGGGTACCCATTTACTTCAGCACAATAAATTTCGAACCATTCTAGCCACACCGGCCGATCGGATCGCATCTGAATTCAACGGAGAGCGATATGTTGAGCTGTTCTTCAGAGTGCATCTGAAGAGGAAAACTCTGTACTATGGCCTGAACTGGATCATACCATCGATTCTGATCTCAATCAGTAACGTTCTCGGCTTCACCATGCCACCAGAGTGTGGTGAAAAGATTACCTTACGTAAGTCATATTGTTTTGCTCCCTAATCTAGCATCGTTGCGAAAGAGTTGAAAAAATAATTTAGTTTTGAATGGAAGTTACGAATTTACGGGCTAAAGATTAGCTCCGCTAAAAATAGGGAACAGATTGCCCGACTTTTTCGCAGTTGCCAACTTTCGCTGTTCGCCAACTTTACCTTTCACCTTATTTCTCACTTTGCTTACTTTTACTTCGATTTTTACGGTTACATATTTTTGCAAGAACATTGGCGCAATCTTATGAGTACATAAACGAAATAAAATAAACTAAAACTTCTTCGTCGATAAGGGATAAAGAAGAGTTTCCTGTCACGATCATTGCGACAACGAAATCGTGGATCTTATATTAGTAGTCACTTGGTTCCGTAGAGTTTTTTTTTCATGTTTTTCAAGCCATTTTTATGCCCTCTATATATGTATCTTCTATTTCTCACTTATTTTATAATTGGAAGTTCCAGTTCTTTTTTCAACTCAGAATTTTTTTTCTTTTCCATTGGTCAGTTGGTATCACGGTACTCAATTCAACCTCTCTCAGCTGATCAGTAGTAAGAGGTTTTAACGATTGATTACAGAAATCACGAATCTTCTCTCCGTGACTGTGTTCCTCGGAATGGTCTCCGAGATCACTCCACCTACTTCGGAATCGATCCCTATAATCGGTATTAATAATGTTTGGCAAGAACTAATGGCCAGTAATTGCTGAAAAAAAGCGTTTTCGTTTCCAGCGGTATTCTTCTCACTCTCAATGCTTTTACTGGGCTGCTCTATCATAGCGACGTTGGTCATTATCAATGTTCACTTCCGATCTCCAAGGAACTCATCAAATGGGGAAATGGGTGAGTTTCTTGAGTTCCGCAGTGGTTCGCAGCCATTTGCGCCGCCTGCTTAGCAAAGTCATCTCCTACGAGATACCATGAAAATCACGAGCTTCTCATTAGAGTGGTAGTGAAATACCCTTGATAACACTCTAAAGTGGTGATTAGGGGCCGTTGACCGAGCATAAAAAAACTGGGGAAACTACGAAATGACCTTGGAATAAACCATGAGCTTCTACATTGTTTGCGAATCTTCCACCGTGCCTTGATTTTTGAACCTTGTTGATTCGGATCATACTCAAAATCACTAAGTCTGCATCGCGGAATGCTAATAATGTCCAGCAACGACTCTCTCAATGTTGGCATGGAATTTCGATGTGTAGGAATTTGTTGTAGCCTGTCCGAGATTGCAGTAGCTTTTAATGGGCTTATGTTTCGGCCTCTTCGCCTCGTCAGAGCCTAAATCTTTGTCGCCATAGCGCAGGATCGGCCACCTAAGCAGCACACTTTTGCGTGAAAAATAAGACCAGAAAGGACCAAAAAAACAAAAAGTAAGATAATGAAGTTAGTGTAGGACAAGCTGCAACATTTCGACCTGTAGGCTGAATTCCTATAGATCAGAATGCTAATAGTTGCCGTTGAAAAAATCGCTTACGTCGGAGTGAAGCGCGCGCTCGCTATAGCGATCTGACGATCTTGCCCGAGTGAATGTGTGCTTAATATGTTTGCAGAGTGTAGATTCCTTCGTGTGTATCTCTGCCTCGTATGCCCGCGTAAGCAGGGTGAAAATCGTGTCGAGTACGTGGTCGCAGAGGTACGACCCCCCCCCGAAATCGAGATCCTGGCACGACCCCCTCTAACAGAGCAAATTAATTCAATTAAAATAAATCCTGCAAAACAAATCAAAAAAAATTCTGCAAAATAATGCTAAGGACGCTTCATCTTGTCATCTATGCACGTCTTCCATCGCTGCATACTTTTGTGTACATACTGAAATATCGACTCGAGGAAAGAGGCATTAACTTTGTGTGACCTCAAGGCGAGGTTCGTTCAGAAACGCACAGAAATCCTGAAGACACGGGGTTGCGATTCAATCTTGATTCTTGCTTGAGTATATCAAAACAGCCGAGTGTATCAAAGGCCGATTCAACGGCAGCTGCGGCGCGATTGTCACTGGGTCAGATTTGCCGAAATTTCAAAAAAAAACGTCCGAATCTACACCCTCGATGAAAAGGTTGCATTCCTCCATTTCACAACCTTTGAAGCAGCTTTGAGGTAGAGTTAGATAGAGCTGGATTTCGCGTTTCCAACAAGCATCGAAATTGCTCTGGAAGCCTTCCTTGCAGAAAGATAGGGTCTCTCAAATTTCGTCGAGTAAATGTCGAGGAGGCCTGAAATTTTCACGCGAGTTTTTGCCACTTCAAGAGCAATATATCTCTTATATTGTAAGATCCTGAAAAAGGGAAGATAGTTTTGGAAAGCGGAAGGTTTGCGCTTCCTGATGGTCTGTTTAGTTTTCTTCTACAGCTTTTTGGTTGAAGAGATAATTGCGTCGAGGATCTATCGAGGTCGGATCCGGCCACCTGGAAATCCGCTCCCTCATTCACCATTGCAAGTGTGACTCGTTGGCAACACTCGGAATGTGTCTAGAACAATATCTTTGAACGCAAACAATAAGAATAGGAGCAATCGTCATCATCCGATTTGGTATTGGTATAAGCCATGCATCCCTCCTCCACTCACAGTTGCAGAATCGATTGAAAGGTGTTATATGATGGGGACCTTCGAACGAAACTGTATTGTAGTAGACATAGTGTGTTGTGCTATTCCTGTAACCTAAAAAACAACTTCATTTGCCCAGCGCTTTTTCTTCACGGTTGTCGTTTTTCCGACAGGGTCCCTAACAACAGCGTCATTCTCAGCGAGGTATTAAGGGAGAAGGAGCGAGTGATAGGCGGAGGAGGTGCCTTTGCAGCGCGTGCGCACATGTGGCACTCTTCTTTGCGGGGATGCACTTTCATTCTTTGTACTGCCTTCAAATACGCCCTTCTCATGAAGGTGGAGGAATGGAGCGACTGAACCTGCAAAGAAAATTTAATATCATGTTTTTTTTCGGATGTTTTCATTTTCTGCTGCGCTATACCCTATTACCTATCTGCACCATGATACCACTTCTGTTACTGACCCCAAGAGTACGACCCCCCATGGACCAGCCCAACAGGTACGACCCCCCTGTCGAGGATTTCCTCGACCGATATTCACCCTGCCAGGCTCGGTGCTCAGGTCGCGCAATTGCGCGAATCTCAAAAGCGCAAGGACCTCATTTGAACAATTGAAACAGTGAATATGAAACAAGTAGAATTATGTACAGTCGTCGTCCAACCATCACACCAAGCAAAGATGGCGGCGGAATCGAGAGCACCTCGCACTATGTTCGGGACCCTTGTGGTTTCTGTGATGCGTCGCGCGATTCGCGATCGCTTACTCTGAGACCAGCCTAAGGCTCAAGTACCAGTCGTGGTTAAGCGGACTTACATGAGAAAAAAAAAGACGACGAGAAATTAGAGAGGCAGCCGCAACGTTGATCCACCAGCAAGAAATCCTCTAGAAGCTTTTTTGCTGGAACGTCAAAGTTGCACACATGCACCCCAAACTTCTCGTTGAAGGTGGAATTCGCGCTTCAAGGCCAGCCATTAGAAATCAAGGCATAGGTTGGTCAGATGGCGCTGGAATGAAGCGAAAGGATCACGCACAAACGCGACGTGCATGTCCAGAAACCAAGAAATGAGAACCCCGCCACTGCGCGCTCATTTCCGCGCCGTCCTGATTCTCATTGGTGGGTGCTGCCCTCTTCGACGATAACGCGCTCTCTGCTAAACAGCTAGAGGTTCGGCGGGGTAGGGTGAGCGTACCGCAGCAGCGCCGCGGAGCCATGCTGGATCGCGGGGGCATATCCTTCGCTGCAAAGTGCGTGTCGGTCTGCTCCCTTTGGAAAGGCCCCATGTCATTCAGATAAGTGAGTATCCCCTTCCGACACCTTGCTAATCGTAGCGTCTTTTGAATTCAGTTTTCTGCCCTACTCCAGGTCAAACGTATAAGCCTCCTTCGAACTCTTACTCAAAGTGGTTTTTCGACCTTCATATCACTCTGAAATCAGCATGATCTCATCCGTTGAGAAGCACTCTAGTAGCGCTGGGTCAAGCTGCGGTTTGCATGACCTTCTCACAACTTGTAGACTCGGAGTGAAGAGTACTTTACCTTTCCTGAGACGATCCTATCCTAAACTGAATCCGCCAAAGGGTGGGAGGGTGAATCTGAGAATAAAAAAAGCAGCAACGCGGGGCTATTTGTGGGGTTAATGATATTCATGGGATAACGCCCACGAGTCACTGTCAGTTTCTTCCAAAATGATAGTGAGGAACTCTAATAGGTTTCGAAGACAGAGGAGGACTTTTGACACAAGTCGGTAAAATTGCTGAAGAAAAAGCGGTCTAGTATCAAAACCTTTTTGTGACGAGAATGTCTCTAAGTTCAAAGAGGACACTTGAACTGAACCTATTGCAAAATTCTCAATACGGTCTATGGCAATTCAACATTCTTTTTATTAACTTTTTTGTTCTCACTTTCAACTGTTCATGTTTATTTAGATACAATTAATCTTCCTGGAATGGTTACCGTGGTTTCTTCTGATGTCACGTCCTGGAAAAAAGTTTACGCGGCGGCGGCAAAAAGGCTCCTCCGAAAATGGAGACGAAGTGAGTTGAACTTCCCTTCGCCGACGCTCATTGTTTGAACATCATTTTGAAGTTCGACGGAGGCTGATCGGTGTGAAGGTTCACCTCTAGTACATGTGGTCCCGTTGCTCACATTGCGGTTTCCACCATTGTCTCCATTCGCCTGCAGCGCGCTAGGGTCAGCCAGTAGATTTACCACTCCATGGGCCGCTCAAATTTCGTTCCTTTCTTGCGGAAATTTCGTAAATTTGGTGTTCGTCCGTCAGCCCAATCCGGCCGGCAACCTCTCCCGCCAGTGATCAAAGCATAATGTAAGCTAGCTATTGTGAAAGCCAGTGGAAGGGCACATATCGCTTTAAAAAAAAGAGCAAATTGAACAATTTAGTTAAAATAACCTGCCGTGTAGGGTTTGATTTTAACTCGTGTCGCACGCGTAGAATTCATGCCACTGAACACTTATTCCGGCTGGTAGAACTAATTTGATTGTAGCTGAGAACGTAGAAATGTCCCTAATCTCACCCGAACTCGAATTGGTGCTTCGGCCGAATCTTGACTGCGTTGTTCTGAACGAAGATATTTACGAGGTCTTTAAGTGGGTGTATGTACTTGAGTAATAAGTACTTTTTGAGTCACCGAGTTACCGCCACGTCAACCGTCAACAATAAGTCTTCCCTCCAATTAAACGTTTTGTGAGCAATTTTGCTGAAAAGTGGCGCATGACTCAAATACGCAACTCCTCTTTGTACTCAGCAAAATGATTGTCTGCAGTTTCGACTTATTCATCAATTCTACCCCAAATTTTGAAGTGTTTCAGCCATTCCGAAAAACTGCTGGGAAGCATGTTGTGGTGATAGACGACGAACAAAATAGTCGATTTCTGAATGGAGGAATTCCTGGCATGGAAAAGGTCAAAGGTTTGTTTCTGAAGTGCAACAGATGTACTTAATAGATCTACACTGTAAAAGCAAAATAGTGGTTGGGATTTGAAAAAAAAAATCTCCAAAAAATGCAAAAAGCGGTGTTGAACTGAACTGGTCATACTAAAAACAATGCTGGCGGTTCTAAACAACTTACTCAGTGCTCATGAAAAAGTGCGAAAGAATTTCTTTTTGCATATTTCGCTCAAGAACGACGATTTCTAGTTCTGGAATTCCTTGCAAAGGTGGGTGAGCTTCCCTGGTGAGCTTGCGTTCAGGCTTGAGTTTAGGCTTATGCTCAAGCCCATGATTGGGCCTAGTCCTAAGCTCGCTTCTAGCATGTGAGTTGTGCCTAAGTTTTGGGTGACCTGATCTGAGGAGGAGAACTGCAACGCTTCCCCGAATTTGGGATCGTGTCCCCTGAGCCAAATAAGCCCTTATTCCGTTCCCCTCTCCGCTTACACGGCACCTTACAAGGTACAGTCACTAGGTCAACCGGATCAATTGGACAGAGGTTTACATTTTGAACGCGTCTTGCGACACTGACTCAAATCTGCTTTTCAATCTGATTGACGACTATTTGAGCAGAGTTATGAGGTAGCTTTTCGAAGCATGGTGTCTAACTTTCAGTCATAGATTCGCGGTGTAATATAATCGGAAAAGTGAATGTCGTGGGAAACTTCTGGCATCTCTTTATCACCACAAGGTGAGATACGGTTGAAAGAAAGGGGTACCTCGTTTCGGGCGTCATTGCCGAACCTCTCCTCACCTCCAGGTTCACCGTTGAACGCTCTCAATCACCCATTCTACCTCGGTTCTTGCCTTTAAGTACGTATTCACGAACACGATCCGACAAGGAACCCGAAGCATGATTCATCTGAAGAAAAGGTTGATGTCAGAGCCGAGCTGTCTACTTTTTTTTATTTCATAGCGTTCCTTCTCCTTTTTATAGTGGTTATAGGTGGCGTTAGCGGTAGTCGCGTTCCGGTGTGGTTTATTGAGAACTGGATTGCGGAGGTGCACGGAAACTAGTTCATCACTAGCGATAGTTTTTGGCCAGTTATCTCGGCCTACTGTAGCACTTTCACCGCAAATCAATCAGCTAGTCCGAAGTGTACTTTGAACAGATTAATTCTCAGCGTGCGAATTAGAAATTCGAAAGTGAGTACCTAACATCGGGTTTCGTGGACTATTGCTATAACGCTCTACTTGAAGGCACGGGTCGCGACTAGAATTCTAATTGTAACAAATCTTTTTCTTGAGTAAACTAGCGAAACCCTAATCATGAGGCCAGTGGTATCGTGACTGGAGAGTGCGGGACGAGCTGATGCATTTTTTCACCGCTGCGACCGCTGCCATTCTTATCAATCACAGCATACGTGGCATCTACGCCGTTTCGCACACCACGTGCTTTCTCGCGTCTTCACCCTGTGCCAGAGTCAACCCTGCGTTGCGCAGTTCGCAACGGCACGTTGAGAGATCCTCAACGCACGCTGTATGGGCGGAGACACAGACGGCTCGAGCATGCGAGTGTGAATGTTCGCGCGAGAGAACGTGTCTAATCGGGCGAAACTGCGCAACGTGGCCGTTGAGAACTGCGCAACGCAGGGTTGACTCTGCCTGCCACTCTGATCGCACCATTTGACCTGACGTAGCTTTTTTCTCAACAATTTGTTTTGGTTCCTCTTTGCTTCGCTTGATTTTGAATGACAATGGTAGAACTATTCGATCATCACTCGTGCCTTTAATCTGTCAATGAAGAAAGCCTTCTCTTATGACAAAGGAAGCAATATAAATATATTGGGAAATTATTATATTATCTAGCTATCAGTTTTTCACCGGGCTTTTGAACATCGAAGGACGGGATTGCTCAATGCTGCATACTGTGTCGCAGTAATTTCCATGTTCGCGACATCCACTTAACGGATGCCGCCTTCACGCACATACCTTTGGTCATACTGTCCACTACCACACAAGGGCAACCGTCTGTTTATTCGACTTCATAAGTTTTTTAAGACTCTTTAGCTTTCCCCCCCCACCTCCCTCCCTAATATGAACAGTGACTGCTCTGATTTTGCCCACTTTTTTTTCGGGGAAATTTCACCAAGATGGTCGAAAACTCCGTCAACAACGAAGTCCTTTCCCGCTCCGCTGCAACACGACTCTCCAATATCCACCTCCACCACGCCCTCTAAAATTGCAAATACCCCTCGTAACGGCAATCAACATACTAAATACAAAACATAATTCTCTCCACAAACCCAATTATGACCCTCCCACCCCCCCTCCACCCGTTCAAACTTACAACAACGCACGGTTGACACTGGGCGCAGGTCGTCAAGGGGGATGAGCAAGCCGCCCAATTCTGCTGGCCGCCGCACCACATCTCCAGTGTAAACTATGCTTTATTTGGCGTGAAGGACCATTTCTCCCATTTTGCACTTTGTCCTATCGTACATTTCGATGGAATTCGCAAGCGAAATTCCAGAATTCGACCGTTTTCGTTTACTTATGAAGTGTTTTTCCAGCACTGCGTCCTCACCTTATTCGACGCTCGGAAACTTTTGCGGTGGACGACTCGATCGAAATGGGCATACGCGAAATTATTGCTCTGCTGAATGCCTTCAAGGTAACTTATAATGAGCTTTAACTGACGGTGACCTGATTTTTCTGCGTTCAGGATCGGCTCGACGAGGAGGATCGCGACTCTGACTTACAAGCTGATTGGAAGTTCATGGCGATGGTCATCGACCGGCTGTCGCTCTTCCTCTTCACAGTTCTCATCGTCGCCACCACCTCTTTGATATTCCTCTCGACTCCACGACTCTTTGTCAAATCGCCGGTCTACTAGCTCTCCACATGACTGCAATGAAGGCCAGGACAAGCGCGTCGGAGCTCGAGCCGAACTCGACCGGCTGCACAGCGCGAGGCTGTTGTCCTGTCCTTGTACGTAGGAAGAACGTACATGGTCAGCCCTGACCTGCTAAGATCTCAAAGTTCTGAATGGTCTGCGAAACGTTGCCCACTCAGTCGTTCCACCCATCGACGGTTTCCTTTGCCGAACACATTCCACCGATTAATTTTTCAGTTGCCTGTGTCATTTAAGAATCTCGAGACAATGAATCTTGTTTCGTTTTTGCACTTCACCACAGAAGATGACATTTCGCTCGCGTCTACGTCACACTTGAGTGAACGTCGTCCATTTCGCTCTCACTATATGACATCTTATCTCTCTTCTCCGTCATCTGGCAGTAAACGCGCGGTTTGCAAGCCTTCCCTCATCCGAAAATAACCTGAACTCCCGAATCTCCTCTGTTGACGACTCGCTCGTTCCGTATGTTTACCACACTTGACGGTCACATAGTTACACACATATCTCTGCCAGAGAGCTGCCTGCGAAACATTTTTTGAGCTATCGTTAACAGAAAACTCGCTCCCCGGAGAGCAAACTTGACTCGTGGGAAAGTACTGTGTGAAAAATAATTCGGGAAACAATCATGTTCCTGTCGTTTTCACCGATATATTTGCAACTACACAATTCAGTGCAATTATTGGTTTCAGCGGCCCTTCCAGATTCGTGTTCGTTAGGAGGTTTATTGCGTTCTTCTTGCCAACCAGTTTTATGAATTTACCACTGTGTGGTGGGTTGCTCGGGTTCAACCTACCAGGGAGGTCTTTCAGGGCGTGCCAAGCTTTTTGAAAACGGTCTTTTGCATGATATAGGGGCATGCGGGAACCACAGAACCATGGTTCATTTTTCCTGAACGGCCCTCTGAATACCAGAAAAGGGGTCCCTAGTTCGATTCCTCGTGGTGACAAATTTTTGCATTTCGAGTTCGACGTTGGCACCAAAACGAGGTGTGACACCAGAGCGGCCCCACTGTGATATTACAAGATTTCCACCAGCTTTTCAATCAAAGTCTATTTTAAGGCCGATGTCAGACTTTGCGAATCGCGCGATTCGCTAGCGTCTGCGGTCGCGTCGCGGCCAGTGAATCACTCAATTGGCTGGTACCGCAACGCGACCGCGGACGCTAGCGAATCGCGCGATTCGCAAAGTTTTTCATCAAAGTCCTATTTGTAAGGGTTACTGACGGTCCTAATCATGAATATGGTACTAATTATTCATGCTAACTCCATTTTGCGCGAATTTTGGAAACGTCAAACGAAATGCAAAAATTTGTCACCACGAGGAATCGAACTAGGGACCCCCTTTTCTGGTATTCAGAGGGCCGTTCAGGAAAAATGAACCATGGTTCTGTGGTTCCCACATGTGCCCCAATGTCATGCAAGAAACCATTTTGAAAAAGCTTGGCACACCCTGAACGACCTCCCTTGTTAGAAAGCAAGATATGCAAAGTTCATATTTCAAAGACACACTGTATGATGAATAAAGTTAGATCAGTTTATTTCATGTGTAGGGCAGAGCTATTCGATAAGGTAGAATAGGTGTCGGTCTCGCGGCTCTAAGGAAGTTACGGTAATCTGGTGCATTGTCTGCGCCTCGCTCATTCTTGTACCGCCTCGTATGTCGTGTTGCCTCGGCGCCCAGTGACTCTTTTTCGGGAAAGATTGTCATTCTTGAAAAGAAGGCTGTTTATTCGCAAAGTCTTCGACGGTGGTCCGATGACCATTTTTATAATAATTTTTTTCTTTCAAGCGCAGTAACCAACATATGGGTGCTCGCTTCAAAAACGGTATGCGCCGAAAAAATCGAAGGGTTTGAGTTGTGAACTCTCGACGCTCTGCTCCTGAGTAACTAAGCTCTTAGATACTAGAGAGTTGAAGCAACGAGTCATGATGGTTCATTTGTTTAAATATAAGTTTTTTTTATCAACATCAAAACGCTTCTCTTGGAGAACGATTGAATTTTTTGCGACGAATTAAAAGTACGGCGCTATCGCAAGATAAGAGGCATTACCGAGGAAACGCTTGAAACTATCTTTTCATAAT